GATGCCGGTCACAGGTGCTGGCGAAACGTAGGAAACAAAACTTCAAGAACACGGCCACACAGCCCGGAAGACCCACACCAGCCAATGACTCTATAAGATTTTTAAAGGGAAGATGGCTCCTTCAACCTTGCAGCATGTAGCTAGGAGAGAGAGCAGTGAGACATTCTGGTTCTAGAGCTGTTAGGTATGATTTCTCCAAGCACAAATAAGGCAACTGCAGCAGTGGGAACAATAGCCTCATCCTTTAGTTGAACTGGATTTTGTTACAGAAAAGTGGTCACATAGATAGAAAGACAGACAGTTTTTCTATAGAACAAAACAAAATAAGCCAGAATAGCTTATGGAACAGATATGATACTATAGCTATGGAAGCAGAATTCAGAGAGGATACAATCAAATAAGTGTGGACAAAAATATTTTATCTCCTGTCACCAAGGATAGTATATAATAAACAATGTGGAAAGACTGGAGTTTAAAAATCGGGATATATTCACCAATAATCTCAGCTAGAAAGCCCATTCACATTCTTCCCACTTCAAACCCTAGATGAAAAGGAATTAGCTAACAGAGACCTTCGATTTAGAAACTAAAATGTAGGCAAGAAGTAACTTAAGATAAGTTGAAAAATGATGGAAGGTAAGAAACAAGATCAAAGGTTAGCTTGCCAAAGAATTAACCATGGAGTCCTTGGTGCTCCCTGAGTTGGTCATTTGCTTGCAGATGTTTCATTATCCAATTAGGAAACATCATCAGTGCTAATGAGTGTGGGATATGCTCCGTTTATAGGGAGTAAACTGTAGCATGCCCTGCCAGTGTAAGTGGGGGTGTGGTTTTCTCCTTGGTAGTTCCTTATTTTTCTGCTTGCTTGTTTGTCTGGTGTTAATCTCTGCTTATCTGGATGTAGGCTGTTGGAGAGGATGTGTTCTGGTCTTTTTGTTTCCTTCTTAGCTTTTTTATTGTATCTTTTGAATGGTGTATAAATGTGGTTTATCTCTATGTGTCTACTGATGGCTGATTTGTCTGAATGCCAAACTTCCAGCATTTTTGGATTTAGCTTGGTTTAGGATGCTCACAGTTTCCCAGTTGAAACTATGGTTGAGTCTGTCAATGTGTTGTGAGATTAAGGAGTTTTCATTGTGTCTTCCAACTGCTAGTTGGTGTCCATGGATGCACTCTGCTAGTCTTCTGCCTGACTGTCCTGCATAGTGGCTGGGTCAGTTCCTTCACCTTTTTTTGTTGATGAATTCTGTTTTTTTTTTTTGTGGTGCTGGGGGTTTTTTTTTTTTTTTT